AGAGACGGGGTTTCACCATGTTGACCAGGATGGTCTCGATCTCTTGACCTCGTGATCCACCCGCCTCGGCCTCCCAAAGTGCTGGGATTACAGGCTTGAGCCACCGCGCCCGGCCCAAGAACGTTTTTTTAATTTTTATTTTTTACTCTTTAAACTGGGTACTCTATGCTTCATCTCTAGTTACTTTCTTCACCCAAGGAAAATGTATTGAGTAGCTAAAATACCTACCTAAAATAAAATAGTTCTTCTTACTGTTTTGGCTAGTAGAATGGTGGAGGGCAGGGATCAGTAACTTATAAAACCCTAAATTAAAAATGCATGGCCACATACAGTGGCTCGTGCCTGTAATGCCAACACTTTCGGAGGCCAAGGTAGGAGGATCTCTGGGGGCCAGGAATTTGAGGCTACACTCAGCTTTGATGATGCCATTGCACTCTAGCTTGGGTGACAAGGTGAGACACTGTCTCTAAAACAATAATAAAATTTTAAAATTTTGAAATATATGGCCAAGCACGGTGTCTCAAGCCTATAATCCCAGCACTTTGGGAGGCAGAGGTGGGTGGATCACCTGAGGTCAGCAGTTTGAGACCAGCCTGACCAACATGGTGAAACCCTGTCTCTTCTACTAAAAATACAAAATTAGCTGGGCATGGTGGCACATGCCTGTATCTCACCTATTTGGGAGGCCGAGGGAGGAGAATAGCTTGAACCCAGGAGGTGGAGGTTGCATTGAGCCAGGATCACACCATTGCACTCCAGCCTGGGCAACAAGAGCGAGACTCCATCTCAAAAACATACAAATATTTTGAAATATGTGATTTTATTATAGTATATTCTTAGAAACTGGGTTTCCATTTAAAATCTCATTTTCTGGTTTGTGTCTTTTCCCTCCTTTTTTTAGGAAGAAAAAAGAGGCAATTGACCCCTTACTTTTCAAGTATAAGGTGCAACCCACTAAAAAAGAATTACATGAGTCTGCTATTGTTAAAGCAACACAAATCAGGTAAAACTCACTATCTTCTCCATAGTAGTTTAAAGTAGAATAATTATATATGTTAGATTAATAAGGTCTGACGTAGAACAAATGCAAAGTACTGTGATTGCTTTCCTTTTTAAAAATAAATGTACACTTACATGTATATGTTCATAGACTGATTAAAGTAAATCCTAAGAATCTTGATGGAGGCCAGGCACAGTAGCTCATGTCTGTAATCCTAGCACTTTGAGAGGCCAAGCCAGGAGGATTGCTTGAGGCCAGGAGTTGAAGACCAGCCTGGACAATGGAGCAAGACCCTGTCTCTATTAAAAAAAAAAAAAAAAAAAATCCTAATGGACTTCTTGAGCCCATTGTTTAGATGAGTAACTAACCCCAAATAGTCTTCTATCCAAAGAATTAAAAAGGATCCTGTTTATGAAGTACTTTTCATGAGATAACTCAGTTTTTTTTTTAACACTAATGATGGTGCCCAGGCTGATTTTAATTTTTAAAAGAATTTTAATGATTATAACTGTATGGGTAATAGTCTGATTTTCTAAAATTTGATTTACTCTCTGTAGCATATTTTCCTTAAAGTTTGTTTTCTAAGTGGCTTCTAAACAACAAATACATATTCTCTTTTTGTAGTAGACTTTTTATAGTAGATTCACTCATGTAGATCTTATAACTTCCTACATAAATACCTCTGAAAGTTTCTTGTGACTTCTACATTAATACTGTTAGAAGATGAAGTGTCCTTTGATTCCTAAGCTTGAAATTCAGGTTATAAATTTACAGAGATTATGGAGTTTGGGTTGAACTCTTTGATGCTATCACGACCCTCTTTCACTTCCTTGCCCCCTGTAGCCGGAGAAAACACATATTTTCTCGTGATAAACTAAAGCTTTTTCTGAAGCAACACTGTGAACCACAAGATGGAGTCATTAAAATAAAGGTAATCAAATAATGAAATTATTTATTGGAAGACAGAAAAGAACATGGGTAGTGTTATAACATTGCTGAAATGTTATTTCAAAGATGATTAAAGATTGTTCTCTTTTAATCTAGAGCCTATTTTTAGTACTTTATTTATTGGATTACTATTTTTAGAATTTCTAGAATTGCTAGGTGGTTCAGTTACTACCACTTATAGAAAAGATCAGTAAGGACCAGTGAAAATAGAAAATTTGGAAATAGAAAAGTTTATCAGGTGGGGCAACTATAGCTTCCTAATACCTGTAGTATGGTTTTGGCTTGCAAAGAATAGATAGATTCAAAGAACAATGCTAAACAGAGCCTACTAGGTGAGAGAACAATGTATAATAAAAAGAGCATTGGCTGGGCACAGTGGCTCACGCCTATAATCCTTGTACTTTTGAAGGTCAAAATGTACATATTGCTCGAGCCCAGGAGTTTGAGACCAGCCTGGGCAACATGGTGAACCCTGTATCTCCAAAAAATACAAAAATTAGCTGGGTATGGTAGTGGGTGACTGTAGTCTCAGCTACTTAGGAAGCTGAGGTAAAGGATCACCTGAGCATGGGGAGGTCAAGGCTGCAGTGAGCTGTGATTGAACCACTGCACTCCAGCATGGACAACAGAGTGAGACCCTGTCTCAAAATAATAATAAAAGTATCATGCTAATACTAAGCAGACAGATTATATTTTATTAATAGCCATTAAGGGAGGAAAAAGTCAACTTTTAGAGATTTCACATTGCATACTAAGTAAAAAGTTAAACGGTAAAACTCAAAGCAATTTTAAAAAATGCAAAATACTCTCATTGGGATAAAGACACACTAAGTAAAAGAGCAGCAGAATGGAGCCTTATGTGATGGTGTGTGCCTGTATTTCCAGCTACTCTGAAGGCTGAGGTGGGAAGGATCACTTGAGCCTGGGATTTCAAGTCCCGCCTGGGCAACATAGCAAGATCCTTCCCCCCGTCCCCTACTCTCTTTTGAGACAGTCACACTCTGTTACCCCAGCTGGAGTGGAGTGGCACAATCTCGGATCACTGCAACCTCCACCTCCCGGGTTCAATCAATTCTCCTGCCTCAGCCTCTCGAGTAGCTGGGACTATAGGCACGCACCACCAGCCCAGCTAATTTTTCTATTTTTAGTAGAGAGAAGGTTTCACCATGTTGGCCGGGCTGGTCTTGAACTCTTGACCTCAAGTGATCCACCTGCCTCAGCCTCCCAGAGTGCTGTGATTACAGGCATGAGCCACCACACCCGGCCTGATCCTGTCTCTTGGAAAAATAAAAAAAGGCGGGGGGTGGGGGCAAGAACAACACACACCTGGGTCTCATCAGAAGGTGGGTGGAGGGAGAGGATGGGCAAAAATAACTAATGGTCACTTGGCTTAAAACCTGGGTGATAAAGTAATCTGCACAACAAAACCCCATGAGACACATTTACCTATGTAATAAACCTGCAAACACACCTCTGAACTTAAAAGTTTAAAAAGCCAATAGAATGGGTTAGAGAGATGTATGTGTTTGTCACAAATCAGCTCCTGCATGTGTAAGATTTGTGCATTTCACTGTATATAAATGTTTAAAAAGAAGAGAAACTTAAAAAGAATGAGTTTATGTGAAAAGTTAACATTTCACATTTCTAGAAGTAAGATTGATAAAAATGGACACTTGATTAACTATCAGAATAATAAAGTTAAGTCTAACTGAAAAGAAATCAAACAAATTTTAATGGTAAACATGATGAGGTACTCAGGAGAAATAGAAAAAAATAACAAGGATGAGATCGAGCATAAACATAGGTTTTAAAATGTCATGAGTAAGTGAGCCAAGATCACGACACTGCACTCCAGCCTGGGTGACAGAAGGAGACTCCATCTCAAAAAAAA